TGTTTTTTAATTATTAGAAAAAATACATGTTTTCTATAGAAATTTAAAAAATACAAGTGAAAAATAAAGAGAATACAAATATATAAAGATACACAAATAAAAATCACAGAACTTTTAATCAGAAGGAATATGAGCATCTGAGATCCTTACATATTTTGCTCTGACTGACAACAGTTTGTAAATGTTGTATTAAAGGAAATCTGCCAACACCATACACTTAAACTTTTTTTAAAAAGCAGGAAAATATATTTTGTAAATGTAATTTATGCTAACCTTGTATGTGAAATATGCAGTCATTGTTAATAATATACCACAGTGAAAACTAAACTGAGCACCTCACTGCTGTCACACAGATGCCTGAAGCTGACTTTCTGTACCACTTTCTTTTTTTTTCCTGTTGTACAACTATAAGTTATTTTTTTTAAAAACTCAAACAGCATCCTAAAAAATTTATATTGATTATGGAATAAATTTTTATGTGAAATCTCTTAGAGATTCGCTTGTTAGTTTTCAAAATCTGATCAACTCTTAACAGAAAATAAAAACCAGGAATGACCACCAGATCTGCAGTGATTAGGTGCAGAATTCTGGTGTAGAATAATGCTTCTATTTATATCACTAAGTACATCTTACACTGAAAAGTTAGATTCAAGAAACCATAAAACAAAAAGATGGGCAATATTTTTTACTTGCCAAAAATCAAATTATCATCTGAAGTACAAGCAATTTATTTTTCTTAAACTTCATACTGGCAAGTGAGAGACAAATATACTTTATAATCTATTATACAAACTAATATTCCTTAACAGAGAATTAAAATTTATACTGGGACCTGAACACAATTTCTTTAAATTGACAGTATTAATATATTCTCTCAAATTTATCTAATCATTAATATCCTTAGGACTCTATTATCTCCTAAATCCTTCGACAATTGTTTTTCAGAACCTAAACCAGGATATTTCTTCTAACTCTGTATATGGAACAGAGACAACCTCCATTTATTCTGGTGAGCCTTCAGACCTTACCACACATAGCAGGTGGCACTTGATTAGTTATCCTTTATTTGCATCCTAAATAAACTTTTGATCAGATTTAGTAGACAAAGGTAATCCAATAAATAATATAGTCAATGCTGTGAAAAATAGAAGTCTTCAAAGTGTATGTATGTATATATGCATATATTTATAGTTTTTTGAAACAGGGGCTCACTATGTAGTTTAGGCTGGTTTTGAATGTACTATGTAGCCTAGGCTGGCCTTGAACTTGTGGCCTCCTACCTCAGCCTCCTGAGTGCTCGGATTACAGGTGTGCCACCAAGCCAGGGTAGAATTTTTTTTTTTTTTTTGGTACCAGGGATTGAATTCGGGTCCTTGCGCTTGCGCAGCAGGTGGCAAAACCACTGAGCTAAATCCCTGGCCCCAGGGTAGAATTTTTTTAAATTTTATTTTTTTATTTTGGTGTTCAGAGTGGAATTAGTAGTTTTTGTTTTATTTGTAATTGGGTGACAGGAGCATAAGAAGGACCTTAATTAAACTATCCCCTCCCCTTTTCGGTTTCTATTAGTACTTTTTTTTTTTTTTTTTTGATACCGGGGATCGAACTTGGGTCCTTGCGCTTGCGCAGCTGGCAGAGAAACCACTGAGCTAAATCCCCGGGCCCCCTTTTCCATTTCTGAAGCAACAGGTGGTCATTGGCTAGTGTGTTCAATAATGTGAGTCATTTCAGCCAACTTTGCCCAGCTAAAGAAGCAACAAGGCACATTTATGGTTTCTACTTAAACTCTGAAAGAGGGTAAAAATCAGATTTCTTTTCACAGCAGGGAAGAGATAATTAATATTCAAAGAGACTGTGGTTGAAACAACAATACTGCTGTGCAACATGAAGAAAAATAACTTTTGTAACATGTATCAGAAACAAATAGGATTGCTTTCTAGGAAAATATATGTTAGGAAAGAGGAATTTCAAAAGAACAAAGAATGAAAAGGGGCTGAGTCAGATGGCGGTAGGTATTTAAACAGTAACAGTGATGCTGGTTGTTATGGTTTTGTTTGTTTTAAGCACAATGTTGAAAAGCAAAAAGTTGGAAAAAAAAGTTGTGAAAAACTTTCACTTCCATGAGTCTGACTCAGGAAGTTAGGTCCAATTCCATCCATGTAACTAAAGAACAAGGTACAGAATAAGTAAATTCAGAAAACAAAGACAAAAATGGTTTATGCATTAGGTATAGATTAGTCCACCTGGAGAGGAAGGAAAGTTCAATAAATTGCCTCCAAAACATGCAGATATCAAAGAGAAGAAGGTTTTCATTTGCTACTCCAAGTATTAACTGGAAATGAGCATCCTTTATGACATAAATATTTATGACAGTTATCACAGTCACAGTAGTTACAGTGAAAAACTCAGCTATAATCTAACTGTCCAATGGAGTGATGATTAAGTAAATTATGTCAATCTAACAAAAACAAGGGGTTACTAGTAGAGAGGGCGGTATGAGCACTGACTCATCAGAATGGGTGTAATGTGATGCCAAGTGTTAGTAACACTTGCATGTTGACAGGGTGGGGGTGTAGAAGCTGTGGAAGAGTTCTGGGGCAGGCAATTACTTTTTACCAACTGGTGTCATTCTAACAATCGGTGTAGCAGTGCCGGCATACAATGGCTGTGTGCCATCTTTGAAATTGGGAAGACACACAGCTAATAGCACCCAACTCTTACTTCATGCCAAGACACTGGAGAACATTAAAGCAACAGCTCTGAGATGGACATTATTTCCTTCTCCCTCTCCCTTTTCCTTTCTTCCTCCTCCCTCCCTCCCTCTTTTCCTCCTTCCTTTCCTTCCATCCTTCCTTCCTGGTTTCAGGACTGGGGTCTGAAACCAGGGCCTTCACACTGAACTATATTTCCAGCCCATTTTTTTACCTTTTAGTTTGAAACAGGAGGGTCTTGCCACGTTAAATTGCCCAGGTTAGGCTTGAACTTGCAATCCTCCTGCCTCTCAGCCTCCCAGAGTGCTAAGATTAGACTTGTGCCACCAAGCCTGGCATTATTGTTCTTTTATAGGTAACAGAAAAGACTTAGGAGGTTAAATCACTTGCCCAAGTTCATTCTATTTGCAAATGACAGTGCTGAGGTTCAATCCCATGCATACTTTTCAAGAAAACTTGGCAGCTTTTTGCTGTTCTGTGTTGCTTCTCCAAAACTATCCAGCCATATGATATAACATTAAAGCGGAAAATCAATATAATAAGCTGTAAATAAACTAAGATTACTCTATGCTGTAGAGTGAATTTTTTCTTTCCCACAGAATTTCCAAATGTTTTATAATATAATTGTATTGCTTTTATAAGATAAATTGGCAAGGAAAACTGCATCATGAGGAAACATTTTAAAATAGCAAGGATTCTTAAATACTACAGTTACTAAAATAAAGTTACAAAGTTTTAAATACATTTTTCCTTCTAAAACAAGAGATTTCATATGTCTGAAATGATTCAATCACAAATTGAATCTAACTGAATAAACAAAACACCTACTGTAGCCCTTTCTAGCACTAGGATTCTATAATACATTGTCAATTCCATACAAAACAAACAAAATATATTATCAAGTTAAAGTTATAGAGAAGCCAAAGCATTAATTCATTCAGTTAACATTTACTGCCAGTTTACTACGTATCAGTCATTTGGCTAGATGCTAGAGAACCCCAAGGTAGGAAACAGCCTTGCCTACACCAAACTTATAGCAATTGCAAGATGGCAGTCCTGTCTTGGCCTCAAGGAAAATCTGCTTATTTTAAGCCAACAGCACCATGTTGAAGGGCAGGGAGCTCTGGCTCTAGGCCCAGGAGTAGCAGTAAAGGATCATCTCTATTTGGGAAGGGAAGGTAAGATGATTCATTTCAGAACTTCAGCATGGGTTCCTTCCCATGTGGGCCAAGACCAGCAGTCAAATAAAGCACGCTTAAAAGCTGAGCGTGGTGGTACATGCCTACAGTGCTAGCACTCTGGAGGATGAGGCAGGAAGGCTGTAAGTTAGAGCTCAACTGGGCAACTCAGTGACTTAGCAAGACATTGTCTCAAAAAACAACAAAAAAAACCAGGCCAGGGATATAGTTCAGGATGAATAAATAAGAACTCTTATAAACTAACATGACTCCTGGGAGGCACTCTGGCTACTAGGAAGTCATTTCTTTAGGTGTCTTGGGAATGGCAATGGGATAGATGCAAAGATTGAAAAGATAATCAGTAATTTTGGGGAGTTAGCTGGTCGTGAATCTTATTGGTAAGGAAGGGACTTACTATTTAATGAAGCTGTACCTCTGAGAAAACAACTCTGAAACATGAATGTTACAGACAACACATTCCCACTGCCATTACCAATGTGAATACTACTGGGTACTCTGGTAGGTCTGACCTGAGAACCTCCTCATCTAAAAACAATCCCCTGAGACTCTCCATCTTATAGAGAAACAATCTGTCTAGATCTCAAAAACTTATATAAATAATATTTGTTTGGAAGGTGCAATTAAGATGTTAATTTCAAGGATATTTAAAAAAATCTGTGTTCATAATCAAAAGAGGCATAAAATCCATGCTACTGCCCTATAAATTAAGTATCTATGTAAATTAACATTAATACCCATTCCCATAGACTCTTCCTTCACCTTCCTTTACTGTTCTATCCCTCAGTCAGGGTGACCTAGTTTCCCTGGAAGTATGGCCCTTTGGGCTGTTAAACAGACATTAAGAAGCATGCTGGGGCTGGGGGTTTAGCTCAGTGGCGCCTCACCTGCCTCATAAGTGCCAAGGTCCTGAGTTCGATCCCTGATACCAAAAAAAAAAAAGAAGTATGCTGACTGTGACAGTCTGGTGAAAATTTAAGATGGCTGGAATATTTTAAAATCAATCATTAGACTCCACTGTGTCCAGAGAAGGGGGAGTGTATATTTCTAATGTATTACTTGGTCAAATATCTCTAACATAGATCAGTGATCTCACCTTCGATATAACTTGGACTGTCCAAAGGTCATAATTACCAGTGGTACATGGAAGGTAGTGAGGACTAGAATAACCTGGAGAGAAACAAAAGCATTCTGTCAATAACATACTCCAATTACATGATGGCATATGATGAAATTAAACCACACCTGAAAGACTGGTCACAGCCCTAATTGTAGCAGCCTATATTGCAGTATATTTTTTAAAAAATGATGAGGACAAAATTTCTAGGATTTATCGTTATATGTCCAGATATCCTCAACTCACTTCATTGGGATGGAACCCAATACCCCTATATCCAAGGCAGTGCAACAGAGCTACTCAAATACACATTATAATAAAGAAGGATTTAACTACTTTTGTATGCAAATTATCATAAGATATTCTTAGGCAAGAACAATCTCTTTTATTTTCCTGCCTACAGAGGTTAAAATACTGTGGGTGTTCTCATAGAAGTCACTGTGTCACATGTATCTGTCTATCTTGTTCTTACTGTTAGGTCTCCACGAAATTCATTTTATAAATAATTATTTGTTTACAAAAAGTAGACATTAGAAAAAGATCTTGGTTAGATTAGTATTAAGAGTCTAAGGAGCCTCAAAAAGCCATATCACAAGAAATCTTGAAGATACCAACCAAATGGGTAAACTGTGAAAATTAGGGTAATAACCCAAATTTTAGAAGAAACTTAGACAAGCTTACAGCAATTCTACTGGAAATTTAAAAGTAATTAAAATGAGAACTTGTTTTTCAAAACCAAAATGTATTTCCTTAGGCTTCTAATATAGCTATCATGTGCCTCAAAGCTATGATTCCTGGACTATGAGGAGGCACATGAAATGGCCCATAACAGAACCAACCCCCCACTCCAGGCCTGAGATCCATGTATCCTCAGCATACCATCCTAGCAAGGTGCCACCTGCACACTAGGAGGGATAAGGAGCTGACTGCTTCCCTTCCATTCCCCCAGTCCTTGCAATACCTCCTTTTTAAATGGACAGGGATAATAGAATTGAATAACCAGGGTGCCACAGTCCTTTAACACAACTGTAGGAAAGAATACAGGAAAACTACAGTTGAGAGGGAAAAAAATACCAAGATGTATGATGTACCCTCTTCTGCTTTTACACAGGGGTTTTTCCCAAGCATTGTCTCAACACATAGCACTCTGTTTCCACTTTCTTCTGCTTGGTCATTTGATGCTAAGGAGCCACTGAAGACTAAAATAGTGTCTACCTTAGCTGGGTGTGGTGGTGCACACCTGTAATCCCAGCTCTCAGGAGGCTGAGGCAGGAGGATCATTGCAAGTTTAAGGTCAGTCTGGGCTACATAATGAGTTCAAGGCCAGCCTGAACTACATAGTGAGACTCTGACTCAAAAAACAAACAAACAAACAAAAATGTCTAACTTCTTATTATAGAAGGTGGTCAAAAGGTGTTCCCAGTTCTAAAGCAAAACCACACCAACTACAACTTTCTGAAAGTCTGTCCTGCAAACATGCATTTTCTCCAATTGAGGTTGAAAAGTATTTCAGAAAGTAATGACATTCAGTGCTTCTGCCCCCAATCTACATCTTCTTACTAGACTAAAATAGATTCAAAATATTACTTACCCCAGTGCGATCTCCAACCCAAGACAAGGACACTGAGCCACTGAGATCATCAAACACATGCTATAATGGGAAGAACAAATGAAATTCATTTAGAAATGTCATCCACTCTCCTACAATTTTTGATTTTCTCATATAATTTAGAACTTTATCACTGTTCTGAGTAATTAAGCTCATAACTATAAGGGAACAGAGATTCCCAGAACAAAGTTTGGGAGAAACAAGATTTAACTACTTAACCTGAATCACAAATAACTCGGAAATTTAAATTCTCTCTAGCACAAAGTAAGCCAAGCAGATGAATTTTCTTCACTGTACCATATGGGGAGATGGGATAATCTAATTGCTTTCTCCAACATGACTAAATATAAAGATAGAGCAAAGTATTCTTAGGGTGCTCTAAAACAAGAGATCAGAGCCCACAATGACAGACATAATTATAACCCAATCAGCATAATTCACATTTTTCTAGGCAGTTCTTCACAATACAGCTGAATAGTCACTAGCTGGATTCCTTTTGTTCCAGGCTAACTCACGAAAAGGACAAGAAGCAAAAGCGAGAAAGCAAACAGCCTTAATTTATCTTTTTATTCAATAACAATAGTATAAAATAATAATAAACTACTGAGACTGTGGTGGAAGAGGGGAGTAAAAATGGGAAAGCTGGTATATTATATTCAAAATGCAGTACTCATGTTAAAATACAGTTACTACTATAATTGTTATAGCCAGGCACAGTGGTGCAGTACTTGGGAGGCTGATGCAGGAGGATTACCATGAGTTTGAGGGCAGCCTGGCCTACATACTGTGTTCAAGGCCAGCCTGAACTACATACCAAGACCCTGTCTCAAAAAAACAAAAGAAATAACCCCTAAATTGTTGTAGTGTTCTTGGAGTTTCCCCAACTGCTTTCTTTTCATATTTATAAAATATATATTTATTATAGATAATATAGATAATTATAAGGATGTATAACAAAGAAAATGAAATTATTCATAATCTCACCATAGATATTTTAGGTTAATATTGTACAATCTTTTAGTTTATATCATTTTTAACTGATTAAAAAATAAAAATTCCAAAGAGGTAATACCCTTGGTTGATAAAAATAAATTCTAGCAACACAGAAATTATATACTATACACAATGTCTATAACAAAAAGTGAAGGTTCTTCCCTTTTCCTGACACATGCCCATCACCCTAAGTCCCACTGCTCAATTAATAGTTTAGTACAGTTTATATTTCTATTAAATGTTGGTGATTGTGTTAGTTACTTTTCTCTCATTACTGAGACAAAATACCTGACACCCAAGTTAAAGGGGGAAAGCTTTATTTGGCTTACAGTTTGTAGAGGTTTCAGTCCATAATTGGCTGGCTCTAAGGCAGGGTGGCAGAGGGAAACAGTTCATGGCAGTGGAAGCAGCAAAAGCAACAAGGGACCTCAACAGCATCTTTCTGCCCCTTTTCTCCCATCCAGCCTACGGGGATCAGGGCGGTGCCAAACCAATCACTCATGTGTAGTGGTTTAGTAATGACACACCCTTAATCTCAGCATCATACAGTCTAGATTCAGCCACCTTTGAAAAAGAAAGACCCACCTCATCCCCAGGAGGCTTTGGGGGGACATCTAAACACAAGCCATAATGTGACTATACTTTTTTTCTGAAGAAGATATATCTTAAGTTTTTAAAAAGATATTAAACATATCTTTCCAAATATGAAAAACTCATTATAAGCAGAGGATGTTAACTTTGTAGTTCGTGGTACTCCCTGTGCCTACCACAGGGATACTTAGCATACTCAATAATCATTTGTTGAAAATGATTATAATGTATCCTACCCAAACCACAAATTCAATATCAAAATAGAACTTGCCTATAAACGGTAGTATGCCAGCCACTTGGTTACTCAAGCCACCAATGCTGACAGAGAATACTGCAGAGACAGAACTCAAACAAAACATGCAGTTTTGCTTATCTTCTAATTTTCTCATGTCCTCCTAAATGGGCCTCTAAATTCACCTATGCTATTTCCCCTCTGGACTAAAAGTACTTTTGAGGTCAAAAGACCCTCCTGCACAACCTCTGTAAGTTTTAAATTAGTGCCTCACATAGTGCTTGCTCAGTAAATGCTGGTTGACTGTCAAATACTCAGGCAGAGCTTCTCGAAGCCTCTGCAGGACAGAAGGGCTATTCATACATGGAGGCTCGCCAAGCATCTGAGAAAAAGTAGGGCTGCTAGAGACGCCTGGAACCAGAAGCTTACAAACTGACACAGCAGAGTGTCTTGTAAGATACAGTGTTTCACACAAAGTAAGACCACATGTTCTCTGGAGGAGACAGTGTCTGAAATTATATCAGTGAGTTCCTTGAGGAGGAGCAGGAATATCCAGAGCTTCCGCAAGCTCCAGACAGACCACATAGTCATCTAAACATAGGATATTTTTCCAAGAAAGCTTTTGATCACAACAACTAACCAGAATAAATGAAAAATTCTATCAACTGTGGCTCTGGAATTCTTGGTTCTCATGATCAGGCCACAATATAGTTGGCATAGAACCAATCAGGACCTGCACCTTTTACTTTTCAGGCAATGCTCTATACACCTGACCCTCTCAGTGCACACTAGCATTTCCCTCATTTTCCTACTGCTCTGTCACAGGGCAAGGATCACAGGATGTCACCAGCAACCTTCAGCTTCACCTACACAACTGAAATGATAACTGACCTCATTCATCATCCAAAGAGTTCCTTTGGAAATACAGACCAGATTAACTGTAATTGAGGTTTTCTGATACCTTCAACCTTCTATCCCCCCCACATTAACCAATTAACATTTGCTTTTGAGAATGTACGACCTGAAAAATGTATCTGCCTACAGAAAATGTAACTAATGTGGTAATGTGCTATATTTCAGTCTTTACCATGCTTACACTCCCAAAAGTAAATGGGAAAATGAAGTCAGGTCTAACAGCATGAACAGTACTCAAAGGGAAAGAAAAGATCATATGAAAGGAGAGGAATTCGGGAGAGACAGAGGACCAACAGTATAGATCAGTGGTGGCGAACCTATGGCACATGTGCCACAGCAGGCTATTTGTTATCACTGAAAGCTCTAAAAGGTTCTCCATCACTGATATAAATCAATGCTACTTTTATGGTGGGAGAAGGAACACAGATGGCAAGGAAAGGGTGGTTAACCTGCTCGTGGTTAGTGACAGAATTCATTTCTGTTAGTAAAGGTCATCAATTCTAATGTCTGAACATTTATCATAGTTAGCACAATATACATTTGTTACTTTACACTGTAGTGGCATTTTTGATCTTTCAAAATTTATTACTTTTAATTATAACAAGAACTCTGTCCTGAAACTTATCTGGTCCAGGGATTTGAGGCTATACATTTTAGCAACTAACATATAATGTAGTATAGGTAGGCACTCAACAAATATTGAATCAATTTTTTTTTGCTTAAATTCTTTTATTGGTACATTTTAGGTGTACAATACGTTTACATTTATCATTGGGTGCTTGTACCTGTACATGATGTATCTTGGTTCTTATTTTTCTCCATTCCCTGTGCTCCCTTCCCTATTTACAAAGACTTTGTTTCCATTTTTTCCTTTTCTTATAATTTTTCCTTTCCCTTCTTTCCTTTCTACTTCCCAACACACTTCTCCTACCCCTTTGGACCTTTTCTTTCTATTTCAAATTATCAATTATTCATTTTAATCATTTTAACCCTTATTTATACTCTCAGTTTCTCATACCAGAGAAACTACTTGGTATTTACACATGTCCTATTTATTTCACTTAAGAGTATGGCCTCAATACGCATCCATTTAGCTATAAATGACTCTATTTTCTCATTGAATCAATTTTTTAAAAGAACTATTGGTAAAGCTCTGCAAAGGAGGATGATGAAGTAAGAAACTAAGACCAGAATCACTAATTTTCTGATGACAGAAATGAGTATGAAATAAAAAAGTTCTGTTCTGGGAAAACTTCTGCTTCTGGCCAAGAAGGAGTAGGAAGGGATCAGATCTAAACTCCTACCTGAAACAACTAAAAAAACACAGAATATATGAAACAACCATTTTCAAGAACTGGACAGTGGGCAACGAAAAATGATGATCCCTGAAAAACAGGAAATGAACAATGAAACAATGAGGGCCCTAAAACTGCTGCCCCCAGCTTTCTACATGGAAAGAATTTCCAGGCCACGGTGCAGGGGAAAGGGAGCCCAGGAGAAATGAAACTGGCAGTGTACAGAAGCCAAAGAAGTCAGAGTTTGTAGGGTAAAGGACTACTGAGGAGAAAGCTACAGAGGAAGAGAATTCTGGAGATCTGCAGAGGGAGTATTAGGGTTTGAATGTGGCTTCCAAGGGTTCATGTACTGGAAATCCAAGCCTCAAATTTATATGATAATGGTATTTGGAGATGGGTGTCTTTGGGAAGTAATGAGGATTAGATGAGTTTCTGAGGTTAGCATTAGTGATTTTATAAAAAGAGGGAGAAAGGCCTGGGGGCAAACAACTGTAATCCCATCACCCTGCGAGGCTGAGGCAGGAAGATCACAAATTCAAGTCCAGCTTAGGAAATTTAGCAAGATTATCTCAAAATAATGGGAAAAGATCCATGAGTTCAATCCCTAGACACACACACACACACACACACACACACACACACACACACGAGGAGAGGGAGGGGAAGGGTAATGGGAGAAAGAAGGGGAAGAAGAAGAGAAAGAGGAGGAGAGAAGGTGGAAGAGGGGAAAGACCCCAGCTACTGCACTTCTCTGTCCTACCACATGATACTCTTAGCCATGTTATGATGCAGAAGAAGGTCCTCACTAGATTCCAGTGTCAGACCTCAGTACCTCTTAGACTTTCTGTCTCTAGAACTGTGACCTAAATAAACCTCTATTTTTTAATAAATTACCTACTCTGGGTATTCAGTTATAGCAACAGAAAACTGGCTAAAATGACAGGTTGGGGGGTGCTTCCCAACCTTTTAGCTAAGACTTCAACTGAATACTGGTCAGCACATGGATGTGAGGAAAC